CCATAGCTAGCTGACAGACAAGCTGAAAAGTGGTCATGGTGGTAGAAGCCTGGATGTGCAAGTTGCACCCCTGACACAAGTGACTTAGTCTAATGTCACTTTTGTGCATAATTAGAGCCTGCAAAGCAATCTCTTGTCTCTCTTCCCACACTGATTGCAGCCCTCCCCACCTCCCTATCCCCTCTGCTATATTTTTTTCCCATTCCTCCCTCTCTCCTCCTGTCTTCCCTTCCTGCCTCTTTTCCCTGTCCCAATGCAGGCTCAGAGCTTGCACATGCACTGTGACCCCAATAAATCCTTCATTTAATGGCTTCTGTATCAGAATCCTTTGAGGCTCCTGTGAAATCAGAGGGGTGTACGCAGTGCAACGCTGGGAACTTTGCTGGAGTAAAACTTATTTTAAAATGCTCTTTCAGGGGGGACATATAAAATAATGCCAATAGGGCATTACTGTATTAAAAGCGAAAAAAGGTTTGAGATAAACCCTTTAATAGAGCCTGACTTGAGGATAGTTACTATACAGGGTTAGAAATTGGTTGCTATTTCTGTGTGTCTGTACTTTAAATTAATTGTTTCAGTTACAACCAATGTATCCCAGCATTGCACTAAGTTAGAAATCACTCTTGCTTGTGTGTGTGTGTATATGTGTGTGTGTGTGTATATGTGTGTATATGTGTGTGTATGTGTGTGTATGTATGTATATATATATATATATATATATATATTTCTATTATTTTTTTTGTTTTAGTTTGTCTGTCTATCTGGGGTTAAGCCCGTCACAGTCCTAGCGATGTGTTACTAACATAATTACAGGACTTCTATAGCATGGGCTTCCTATTTATATATAAAAAAAAATTTTAAGATTTTGTTTTTATTCATAGTTTTGAAATAAAACAAGGATTACACAGCCAAAAAATGAACAAATATTATACTGTACACATTGACACATATTATTGTTAAGTCATTTGTTAAGTCAAGTGTTATAAAAAAAACATACAACATTGTAGTGAAACTGAGAACCAAATTGCAACAGTTAGCCTATAGTTGTAGTTTTTTTCCAGATCAGATTTTGCTGCATACATTTTTACAATTTGTTTTTCAATTCACTAAATTTCACGGTTTACTGAATAAACTACTAATTTAATTTACACATTTACACATGTGGGCTCACAACATTGTAAAGCGCTACGGAATCTGTTGGCGCTATATAAATGGCGATAATAATAATAACAATAATGGCACTAGAGCAGATTGTATGGAAGGTAAATGACTCAAAACTTTCCCCCCCAAAACTGATTTATATTATAAAATCAGTCCATCAGGATCAGAGAGTGACATACCCACCTGAGTTCTGCAGCAGAGAAGATGCTGTTACTGTGTTCTTTAATAGTACAGTTTGTTGATACAGTAACTAAACATACTAAAGTTACTGCGGCAACAGTAAACTCTCCGCTGATTGGCTATTCATTGAACAATGTTGGATATTACTGTAGACTAGTACAGTATATGGTTGTATACTGCCACCTAGTGGACAGATATAATATGACTCCCCTGTGTGAATGTCGAGGGTTATTCTCTAGTCTAGAACAGTGGTTTTCAAACCAGCAGGGCCGGCGCGTCCTATAGACGACTTAGGCAGTTGCCTAGGGGCACCGGCCCGGGGAGTGCAAGTTTTGAGTGACCTGACAGGAGGGAAGTGCGCAGTGCTCCCTCCTACCGGGTCACTCTGTGTAGTGTGGCCGTGCGGCGTGGACCGCGGTACTGAAAGGAAGTGCTCTCTCAGTGAGCACTTCCTGTCAGTCCGGCCGGGTACAGGAAACAGAAGCTCCTGTACCGGGTTCCGTGCCTCCCGGCCTCGCTACCCTGAGGTAGGAGGCACAACAGGGAGGGAGAGGGAGAGGAGGAGAGACCACTAAGGGACACGGGGGGGGAGAGGAGGCTAAGGGACACTGGGGGGTGAGAGGTGAGGCCACTAAGGGACACTGGGGGGGGGAGGAGACCACTAAGGGAAAGATGGGGGAGAGCACTAAGGGGCAGGGGAGAGAACTAGGGGACAGGAGGGCAGGGGAGAGCACTGAGGGACAGGTGGGAGGGGAGATCACTAAGGGACAGAACAATAACACAGGCTTATTTTCCTGTCTGGTCGCACCTCCCACGCCTCCACGCACTGTCAGTCCCTGCATTGGCTTCCAGTTAGATATAGGGCCCAATTCAAAATTCTGGTGCTTGCTTACAAATCCCTACATAATGCTGCTCCAACATACCTATCCTCTCTCATACACAAGTATGTCCCTTCGAGACCCCTGCGCTCAGCCCTAGACCTACGCCTATCCTCTGCCGGATCCCCACCTCTGATGCTCGCCTTCAAGACTTCTCCAGGGCTGCACCTATTCTGTGGAACTCCCTTCCCTCCTCAATCAGACTTTAACCCAGCCTCCACTCCTTCAAAAAATCTTTGAAAACTCACTTCTTCATTAAAGCGTATCAATAAACTGTCAGCAGTTTTTTCATCCCCCACCCCATGACTCCTTTCCTGCAAGTGTCAAAAATGACCTACCAAGCACTTAATAAACCCTTCTCTAACAAACTATTTAATTCCCCTACTTTAACCCTTTGTGTCACTATACCCCACTCCCTCTAGCATGTAAGCTCATTGAGCAGGTGTCAGGTGTAGCCTGACATGCATTTTGCCGTAGGAACCCACTTCCGGGTTTACGGAGCTTAGCCCCGCCCCTCTTTCTGACGCGGTCCTTCCACGCTACTTAGGAAGACCGCGCCAGATTCAAAGGGCTGGATTATTTGCACAGGTGCCTGCAAAACTTATCAGCTGCTCTATCTTGATCCTGCGTGTACCAAATAACGTTCTGGGACGATTACCCTCCTTCTCCACTCCTTGACCTCGGCTTGCTAAACGGACTTCTACCTTCTCCACTCCTTGACCTCGGCTTGCTAAACGGACTTCTACCTTCTCAACTCCTTGACCTCGGCTTGCTAAACGGACTTCTACCCCTCTTCACTACCATTGGATGTAATTAACCCCTTCAGTTCCAGAACTGCCTCTTAAGCTAAGTAATTGTTTCTACAATCAAGCTACTCTCTGTTACTAATAAGAGACTGTTTCTAAAGGTTCATTACTGTGTCATTCTCTCAAGTTATTCTCTGTTATACATAAGGAACTGCTTCTAAGGCTAAATTCTTCTTCCAACAATCAAATTATTCCTAGCTGCAATTCTGTCTTGCCTCATTGATAATCTTGCTTGCAGTTATTCTATCATAATTAAGCTGAACCTAACTCTGCATATTTTTCTGCACTATTCCTAAATTGGGACTATTTGGCTTGTGCAAATCTTCATTGGCTTATTCTTTACTCACAATTAACATCCTGCTTGAGGGTTTAAAGCTACAGTAACCTCTCCTCCACATCAGTACAAAAGGAGGTAAAACTAATAGTTACTGCAGTTGAGTTCCAAATAAAATTAGTATTACAGCAGGGCCCTCAACCCCCTCTGTTCCTGTACGTCCAGTGGTCTGATCTCCATTATGTGTCTGTTAGTCCACCCATTGTACAGCGCTATGGAATTTGTTGGCGCTATATTAATAATAACACATCCCCTACACACATACGCTCCACTCCCTGTGAGCGAACTCATGGCTTGTAGGCATAAGTCTTATGGGCAGGCCTTGTAGACATACTCACAATCAGGCCCTGGGGGCCCAGCCTGTGATCTGTGTAAGGGGCCCCAAAACATGGAGCTGCTTCCTGTAAGTTGTTTTTGTGAGCACTGCCCCTAGAGAGCCTGTTTTAACACCAGACCAGTGGAGCCAGACTGCAGCCTGAGCCCATCATCATCCTCTTGTCCTCATCTGGTGGTAAGTAGGCAATCCAGTATATTATTAGTGGCACTAATCCCTAATTTACCTCACAATAAAGTGCCACTATAGTCACCAGAAGCTTTTTTTCTTGCGTCTGGGCCATTCATATCCGCACGTCCTTGGATATGTGGGGGGTAGACCCCAGGACAGGGACTCATAGCATAGGTGATGCCAAGGTCGGAGGCTGTCCCTGGGTCGTCACCGTCAATCCAACCTGGTGACTGGAGGTATGGGGGTTTTTATCACCGTCTATAAGCGACTGTATGGGCTGTTCGTGGTGTGCTCACGGGATGTAAGGGGTCCAGGTAGCGTCTGAGCTAGGGATTCTGTTCGTCTGTCAACCTGAGAGTGTCCCTTCCGCGCATGGGGGTGGGCCATCGGGGGGCATTATCAGGGATATATACAGGGAGAGGTGGGCTGGCTAGTCATCAATGTGGCAGTGGTGAGCAGGTTATGCAATAGTAACAACAAAAACATTTTAAACAGGTGCACATTCAAACCCTCTCCATACTCAACTCTTCCGTGAGTCCTTGCCCACCCCGACCCCATCAACCAAACATCTGCCCCGGCATGTGCCAAGGTGGCATAGTCCCTGTTAGGCTCAACGTGTACCGGGTGAGGTCATGACCCCAAGGTGACATCCTTTGTGCTTATCAGGCCAAGTAGGCCGGGGGGCATACCCTACGGGGGTTCTTTGGTAGGCAGGGGTCCATGGGTGCAAGAGGTGGCATGAGGGGGGCTGCATGTGTCAGGCCTCTGTCTGGGAGGGTATCTCAACGCTATCGGGGGTGGGATTGGGCAAACCCATCTATGGCTCAATGAGGACTTGGTTGCGGTCTAGGGGCTCCCCAGTCTCCCCGATTACAGCTGCAGGCCCGGGACCAGTCTATCTCCCTCACCTGTCCCACCCAAAGAAATAGGCCCAGGGACTGCTAAGCTATAGACCCAAAAAGATATGTTGGTAGTACTTAGCTGTGGCAGTATGTAGGCCTCCTCTGGGCTGCATCTACTAGGAGGAGGGGAGGTGCGGACCGTCGGGGAGTATCAGTGCTCGCGTCTGCGCCGTCTCTACTCTTCTGAGCTGTTGGGTCCGCCTCTGCGTTGTGGGGGAGCTGCTCGGCGGCTGTTTAGGAGTGTGACGTCGGCTTCGTCCTGTAGGTTAGGTTGTGTCGGTGGCTGTCTAATATCGCGTTCGGTACTGATACGGCTGGGAGGTTTAGTGCTCGCAGGAGTCCGGAGACTTCGTTTGGCCATCTCAAGGTGCGCCAGACATTGTCTTTGGCTTGAAGGTTGAAGGGGAAGCCCCATTTGTAGGGTATTCTCCTCTCTTGCAGGAGGCATGTGAGTGTTCTGAGGGCCTGGTGGGCCTCTAGTGTGAGGGTCGATAGGTCTTGGTAAAGGGACACTGTGGCGTCCTTGAATGTGATGGCCTGTGGTCTAGCTGCCTGCATGATGGCTTCTTTAAGGCGAAAGGATAGCAGGCAAAAGATGATGTTGCGTGGCAGGCCGTCCCGTCGTGGGGGGCGAAGGGCTCTGTGGGATCTTTCGATGTGATATTCCTCATGGGCCTCCTCTCCAAGTATCTGTGTAAACACCTCCATTATCTCTTCACGTATCAGCAACCTGAGCTTGGTCACCATGGTGGTTTTATCCGCTTTAGCGAACATGTTTGCAGATATAGCCGCTAGTTCAGTAGAGATCTCTTGTTAGGGTTTTCGCCTCTCGATGAGCCTGGTAGTGACTCCGCTAGGCTTACCGCACCATGAGAGGTTGGTGCCATTTTGTCACTGGACCGGATGTGCCTGAAGCCGTCGAGGGTAGACAGAATCCATCGGCCCGTGTTTCTCCGCGGCGGGCTTGTGTCTGAGGGTCCAGGGGTACCCAGTCGTCTTGTTTTCCCCATGTGGAGCAATAGGAAGGCGATTATATAAGGCTATGTGGGCTGAAATCGTGGAGCCTCTGTAGTGTGCGACCTACTCATTTATTCCAATGAAGATTCTGACAAAACCTGGACTGTTGGTGGGTCGTGAGGACTGGTTTGGGACCCACTTCTCAAGAGTGAGAAAGTGAATTTCAAATGAAAGGGCAAAGTAGCAAACTTGTTAAAACGGTAATTTGGAGACTCTACAGTTCAGCTAGTTGGGCCTTCGATTTGAAATTCACTTTTAAAAAATTCTGGCTTTAGGGATGTGACGTGATGACGTGAGACGCCGCACGTGCTTTAGGTGGGCGTGTCCGGAGGGAGGTTGAGGAGAGAGGACGCGGAGACGAGAGCAAGCAATGCCGCTCCGTGCCGTTTTGTGAGTGTGGTCCGGCTTGGTGAAGATCGAAGTGGACGAAGTGGAGGGAGGGCTCGGTGAGGGCTCGGTGAGGATTCGGTGGGTCGGTGGACCTGGTTTGGAGTAGCGGTGTATGCCGGTCTTTGCTGGGGGTTTGTTGCCTCCGTTTGGATAAATAGTGGCGCTTCCCTAATAGACCGTTAAAAAGGTCAAGGAAGAAATAAAAACAGTTCCTGTATAAATTACTAAATAAAAAACGAAAAAAAGAAGAAAAAAAAGAAAAGGAAACAGAGAAAGAAAGAATAAGAGAGAAACAAAGGGAAAAGGAGGAAAATACATCCCTCAGTGATCTCCCAAACAGCTTTATATAAAAACTGTGAGTACTTCTGTATTTACTAAAACATTAATGTAAGGCATCATATCTGTATATAACTACTGGCCTGGAAAAAAGAAAAGTGGAAGGAAATCTTTTTTTTCGTTGGAGGAGACTGGCATTAAGTATCTGATTATTTGATTAATTGATTTAATCTAATTCTTCAAGCTCAAAGTTAAAACTTCATATGTGATACCTAGCTATAATTTGCTACTGAGAAGCACTTAAGAAATAAAGCAAAATGTCAACCAGGAAAACAACAGAAAAAAAGAAAGAAATTAAGTCAGTTCAACAAACAGAAAAGAGGTTGTCAGGTTTTTTTGCTACTCCTATTAAAGATCTGCAGGAACAGATAATTGATAGTAAGACACACCCAAGTAATACTTCCAATATTATCCAAGAAGTTCCACTTAACCAATTTCCATCAGAAGCTCAAGCAATTGCTTCAATCAGTATCCAAGATCAATTTAAGCAAATGTTGGAATTACAATTAAATATATTGAAACAAGAAATGCTTGCAAGTTTCAATGAGATAAAACAAGAAATTAAAAATGTTGCAGTATCAGTGGTGGAAGTGGAAAAAAAAATGTGAAGTGTTTGGAACTCAAATTAAAGTAATTAATACGGAGGTGCAGTTTTTAGTAAATAAAGTTGATAATCTTGAAAATAAAATAGCAGCTTTGGAAGATAGAAAAAGAAACATCAGAATAAGAGGTGTTTCTGAAGAAATCTCCAATGAAAAACTGAGAGAATATTTAAATAATTTATTTGAAGAAGTTTTACCAGAAATACCTACAGTTGAACATAAAATAGAAAATTTTCACCGAATACATAAACCAGATACAACAGCCTCACATCTCCCAAGAGATGTAATAGTGAGTTTTTCCTCATTATCATTGAGAAATAATTTAATGAAAGCCAGCCGTATTAAACCCCGAATAAATTCTATTTACAAAGACATAATTTTTTTGCAAGACTTATCTTATCACACCAGGACTTGGAGGAAATCTTTCTCTATCGTGACGGATTTTTTAAGAAAAGCAGAGATCAGATTTCAATGGGCCTATCCAACATCTTTAAGATTTACTTGGAAACAAGAGAGAAAAATTTTTTGGGATGCAAATGAAGCAAACAGTTGGTTAACAGGTATCAATAAAAAACCTTGAAGGGTCTGTTGCGGCGGAGAGGAAGATGGAAGGAAGAGAGAAGAGAGGAGAAGAGAGAGGAGGGAGAGAGGAAGGAATGAAAAAAGAAAAAAAAAACTAACTCTTTTTTTTTATTTATTTTTTTATTTTTTTCACTCATATAGAATCACTTAATTGTGCTTTCCACAATTTGCTAATCTGTTGATGTTATTGGGGACTGTTTTCACTTTAAGGCTATTAGTCAATTGAGAATTAAGTATATGCACAAAAGTATGTGGAACATAAGGTTTTAAAAGCAAATATGTCTAAGTATTAATATTAATTAGATTTGAACTTAACGAGGTGGTTAAAAGAAAATTATTCACATGTATTAATAAGCTATGTAGAAATAGATTTATTTAAAGCAAAGAATTACAGAGTAACTGATTTAAGTTTAAAATAATGGAAGAATTTTTTTTTTTTTTTGCTGTCCTCACTTATATAGAACCACTTAATTGCGCATTGCACAATTTGCTAATCTGTTGATGTTATTGGTGACTGTTCTCACTTTAAGGGTATTAAATAATTAGGTATATGCATGTAAGCATGTGGAACATAAGGACTTAAAAGTAAACATGTCTAAGTATTAATATTAATCAGATTTGTACTTAACGAGGTGGTTAAAAGAAAATTATTCACAGGTATTAGTAAGTTAAACAGAAATAGATTTATTTAAAGTAAAGAATCACAGAGCAATGAAGCTAAGTATAAAATAATGGAAGAAATTTTTTTTTTTTTTCTCCCTCTTGGAGAGGGATTGCAAATTTGTAAATATTACTACCTCTTTCTGGATACGCCCACTTAGTGTCTAATTTAAAGACACAGTAAAGACTGAATTTCTATATGAAAATTTACAGTCTTTGTGATAAAAAAGGAGGATTTCCTTCTATGATTTTAATATTTTGTTTTGTGTGTTTGTGCAGATATGTTTATGCAGCAATAGGGAAGGGTAACGGTTATCGAGTGGAAAGAGATGCAGGGAGGTTTTTGAAGATAATATGATAAAAATGTTTACACTTAATGTTCAGGGATTGAATACTATAGCGAAAAGAAATCTATTGTATAAATACCTCAGTGAAAAACAATTGAATTTAATATTCTTACAAGAAACTCACTGGAGACAAATGGATAAACAAAATTGGGGGGGTAAAAGATTTCCACTTATAATTCAAGCTTCCAATAAGGAAAAAAAAAAAATGTGGAGTAGCTGTGGTATTTGGAGAAAAGATTAAAGTTGAAGTAATCCATCAAATACAAGATACTAAAGGCAGGTATTTAATAATAATATGCAAAATTGACTCTGTACTTTTTACATTATGTAATATATATCTTCCTAATCATTTACCAGTTGCTTACTTAAAAACAATTTTGGAAAAAGTAGATGAAGTTAAAGTGGGAAAGTTAATATTGGCAGGGGATTTTAATGCTGTATTAGACCCTCGGATAGATAAAAAATTAATGAAAGGAAATACTTTAAATCAGATGGTTATAAAACAAGCAAAAGCCTTAAAAAAAATTAAAGATGAATATAATTTATTCGAAATTTGGAGAATTTTTAATCCCAATGAGAGAGACTATACGCATTTTTCTAAAGTGCATTTTTCCTATTCAAGATTGGACATGATTTGGGTCGACCCAAGTATTATTGATATGACCAAAAAAACAAAGATTGACGAGATAGTTTGGACAGACCACGATGGAGTTTTTTGTGAAATGATTTTTAGTACACTTAAAAGAGAAGCCTATACTTGGCGGTTAAGAGATAATTTGCTTTGTTGTGAATTAAAAAAAACTCATATAAGAGATAATATAAAAAATTATTTTAAAGAAAATATCTCAGAAAATATTGATTCATCTATTTTGTGGTGTGCCTTTAAGGCCGTTACAAGAGGTCATATTATCAAGTTACAAAGCCAACTTGACAAAAATAATACTCTGGCATTTTTACACACAGAACTAAGAGATTTGACTCATATCAACAAACAATCTCCATCTCCTGAAATTTATGAAAAAATATTAGAACTTAAAGAAAAAATAAAGCAAAAATTAATGGATACGATAGCTAAAAATATGGATAGATTAAAACTTAAATATTACTCCAAAGGCAATCGAGCTGAAAAGATGCTATCCCAAAAACTTAGAAAACAAAAAGGACAAAATAAGGTAGACAAAATAATACAGAATGGAAAAATAGCACTAACCCCTAGAGAGATTGGAAAGTGTTTTAATGAATATTATGCCAATCTATATAATATTCCTCAAATTAACACAGATGAGGATATTAAAAACTATTTAAATAATATAAAGAAGCCTCAATTAACTCCTATTGAAAATGATTTCTTAAATAAACCTATAACTATGGAGGAGACTATGAAAGCAATAAATGATTTAGAAAGATCTAAAACACCAGGCCCGGATGGGTTTAGCAATCTATTTTATAAAACATTTAAAGATTTAATATGCCCACATTTGACCTCTGCTTTTAACATAGCCGCAAACAGAGGATTTTTACCAGCAGAGATGCTTAAAGCTAATATCTTGCCTATCCTAAAAAACGATAAAAACCCCACTGATATCAAAAACTATCGTCCGATATCTTTAATAGATGTTGACACTAAGCTATACGCTTCGGTTTTGGCTGCCAGAATAAAAAAACTTCTTCCACTAATCATCCACAAAGATCAAATAGGATATGTTCCAGGTAGAAACTCCTATACAAGTATAAGGAAAATTATTAATATCTTGGATGACGCAAATAGATATGATGTTCCAGTTCTGACTCTGTCGATTGATGCTGAAAAAGCATTCGACAGAGTCAGCTGGAAATATTTAGAAGCCGTCTTACAACATTATGGATTGGAAGGTTGGATTAAGAAAGCTATAATGGCACTATACGTAAATCCTGTTGCACGAACTATTGGACCTAATATTGTCGCCCCATGGTTCCAACTTAGAAATGGTACCCGACAGGGTTGTCCCCTTTCACCATTGCTCTACTTGCTGACTATCGAGCCATTGGCTGAGAATATTAGGAATAATAAAGAGATCCATGGTTATAAAATAATGGATGAGGACCAAAAAATTAGCTTATATGCTGATGACATTTTAATTACTCTTACAAACCCTAAAAATTCTTTAGAACGCATAATGCAAGAAATAGAGCGATACAGCCTTATATCAAATTATAAGTTAAATACAAATAAATCTTTGATATTAGATGTTAACCTAAATAAAAAGATACAACAAGAGATTAAAAACAAATATGATTTTATTTGGGTTAAAGAAAGTATGGATTACTTAGGATTTAAAATAACCAGAGAGACAAATAAGATCATGGAAGTAAATTTCCTAACATTATTATTAGATCTTAATAAATGGTTAAAAGATCGTAGAAACCTAGAGATTACTTTTTGGGGGCGAATAAATGTTATCAATTCATACGTTATACCAAAGTGGAATTATATGTTTCAAATGTTACCTCTCCATATTCCAATCCATTGGCTTCAATTAATACAAAGAAGTTTTACTCAATACATCTGGAAAGGCAAGAAGCCGAGATTGAAACAGTCAATATTAGTGCAGAAAATATATAAAGGTGGACTTGATTATCCACTCATAATGAATAATTTTAAAGCAGCTATTATTCTACATGTTTATAGAATGCAAATGAAAGAAAATAAAGATGAGGGATGGTATAAAATGGAATTGAAGGCAGGAGAAGTTTCTAGCTTAGATTGTTTAATTTGGAATATAAATAAAATGTCAAAGAAAAAAGAGTATGCCAGTATTATTCTAACTCAATTATTGGAAAATTGGTTAAAAATTAAAAAAGTAATGAATATAGAAAAAAAAAGTTCCAAGTTATTTAGAGTTAGACATTGTAGAAAAACAAGTGGAAGATTTAAACTTAAATAATTGGAAAAAAGTAGGGATAACGACTCTGGACCAATTATTGACAGAAGGATCAATTAAAACCTTTGCTCAAATAACAGAGATACATAATCTCCCTCCTAGAGAGGTGTTTAATTTTCTAAGACTTAAAAGCTATATTAATACACATCTTATAATACCAAAATCTAATCTAAGCAATTCGATAGATTTATTACTTACATCAAAAAAAGTCAATAAACCACTTTCCAAAGCTCTAATACTAATTAAATCAATAGCTAAAGATACAAATCCTACTGCCATACAGGCTTGGAAACAAGACTTGAATATCGATATAAATTTGAATCAATGGGGTTCTTCAATGATGGATGTTAAGAAGAATATACATTCATTAAATTTATTAGAAACGCACTTTAAAGTTTTAAATAGGTGGTACTTAGTACCAGCTAAATTGAATAAAATTTATCCTCTAGTAAATCCTATCTGTTGGAGATGCAATAGTATTAGAGGCAATTTTAGACATATTTGGTGGGATTGCTATAAATTAAAAAATCTCTGGTTGAAAATGCAGCATTTTATATCTAACAATTTAAAACTCGAGTTGATAATCTCTCCAGAGGTAGTTCTACTTCATCTAAATTGGCCTCATATGACATATGAATTAAAAGCAATTCTTATACATCTGTTTTTAGCGGCTAAAATAGTAATTGCGAGATGGTGGAAAAGGGATTCAGAAGTCCCCTGGAAGAAAGTTAAAATTCAACTCGAGTTTCAGATTAAAATGGAGCTGATGCTAAGTAAACAAAGATTAAGCAATAAGATTTCTGTTTGGTCAAAGTGTATTGAGATGATTGATGTATAAAATAATGTCGCTCAATTAGTAGTAGAATAATTCCATGAACATTGTAAATAATTATGAGACTTATCTAAATGATATTACCACTCTACTATGGAAGTCTTTTTGATGTATTTTTCTTCTCCCTCCCCTATTTTGCTGCTGTGTTGTTTTTTTGTATTATAAATGTATATTTGTATGATATTTGTATTTGTATGATATATGTATTTAATGAGATTTAAAAGAAAAAAAAATTTAAAATAAAGATTAAATATTCAAAAAAAAAATAATTCTGGCTTTAGTAAATAACTCTGTCCGGGTTTTTCACAAAAGTGAGAATTCAAAGTGATTTTTAAATGTAAAAATCTCATCAAACTTAAAATCTTATTACACGTTTGTTTTTCTAACGCCATAGCGTTCTTTTGAGTCGACATTTTTCCATTTGTGAACACGGCTTTTATTACTTGGTAGCAAAATGCAATTATACAGCCTATCATTATTTCTGTCATATAGTGCGGTTTGTCCACCATTTTTATTTTCCACTTGGAAGAATTCTGACTAGAGCGCTTTTTGATGAGTTTTTAAATAATTGTGCTCTCCCCACCCAACCTTCTGTTTCTGGGAGCTGTGACTCCTTGATCTTGTGTCTAAGTGTATTGATAACCAAAATATATCCTGACAGGTAACCTATCATGTCGGAGAGAATTAAGAATCAGCCTTCTCATTGGCTATTAGGGTTCCCATGTTTACATTTACTTAGTTATTCTCTAGAACCTGGAGTTGTGGAGAACTCCAGGCTCAAAGGGATTGGGCATTTTAAGGACACATTAGTGGTTCTGGAAATATGCCTGACATGGAGATTTTATTGGAGTTTAATTTGCATAATTCCCTTGTAAATTCTCAGTTTAGCTTAATCTAATTACATTTAATTAGTAACTTTAACTCAATGAGACAGCCACTAGAGGCTGGATTAACCCTAATATAAACATAGCAGTATCTCTGAAACTGCTATGTTTATAGAAAAAAGGGTTAAACCTAGAGGGACCTGGCACCCAGACCACTTCATTAAAGGACCACTCTAGGCTCCCAGACCACTTCAGCTTAATGAAGTGGTCTGGGTGCCAGGTCCTTCTAGGGTTAACCCATTTTTTCATAATTATAGCAGTTTCAGAGAAACTGCTATAATTATGAATGGGTTAAGCCTTCCCCCTAATCCTCTAGTGGCTGTCTCATTGACAGCCACTAGAGGCGCTTGCGTGCTTCTCACTGTGAAAATCACAGTGAGAGCACGCCAGCGTCCATAGGAAAGCATTGTAAATGCTTTCCTATGCCGGCTGAATGCGCGCGGCTTGCCGCGCGTGCGCATTCAGCCGGGCGTAACGAGGCGGAGAGGAGGAGGAGAGCTCCCCGCCCAGCGCTGGAAAAAGGTAAGTTTTTACCCCTTTCCCCTTCCAGAGCCGGGCGGGAGGGGGTCCCTGAGGGTGGGGGCACCCTCAGGGCACTATAGTGCCAGGAAAACGAGTATGTTTTCCTGGCACTATAGTGGTCCTTTATGCTGAAGTGGTCTGGGTGCCTATAGTGGTCCTTTAAGACCACAATAACTGAATTGAATAAAATCTCTAAATTGACTTTTTCCAGCTTGGCTATTTTGGCCTTAAATGTGCAATTATTCTGTGTAATTGTGATTGCCATGCTGTACAGACGCATGGATCTGAGACCCCTCCAACTGTGGTGTATTATTGTCTTATAGTGGTATATTTGGGCATTGCAGTGTATGGGGAACATGTAATGACTTTTCCACTATCTTTGCACTGCAGCTGTTTTTCTACTTTTACATTTTTTGCAGCCTCTCTGGAAAATACAGATAATAATGATGCCTTATCGCGATGGCTTGCAGTAGTGGTTGTGGGGACAGACAGGCCCTAATGCTACACCATTGTAGGGATCAATACCATTGTAAAAAGGTTTACCAGTGATTTAGAGGAGTTAGCTCTCCTCATCTATTCCCTGTAATACAGCACTAGCTTATCAGTTAACCGCGTCAGCTGTGTGTCTTCCCAAATATCTATGGTGATGGGCTCTATTAACATTTTCCTCTATTTCTACATACACACTGTCATTCCTGCGATTATTTTAGGTCAGTATTGTACATTGCTTCAAAAAAAATTGTCATGATAAATAAAAATAAATGGCACTTGAGGGAGTGCCTGAGAGAATTTGCACCTAGTGTTCTATCATATTTATGTTGTCTCTCCACGCGTCGTTGTTAAAATAAAAATGCCGTATTGATATTGTACAGCTGCCGGCTTTTCTACACTTTTAAAAAATGAACAGTGTAACGGTAGTTTAATGGCTACAATCCGAGAATTTATAAACGTTCATAATATATGGTCATGTTTTGTAAGCTATATTAAAGTATTGTTTATTTTAAATGTTGAATATAATCTGAATAAACAGCTTGTGATCGACATACACTTTTTCTTCAGACGTGCAAATGACAAAATGATATTACTTTATAATATACCCTTGTTTTCCATTTTTATTTTTTTCCCTCTGCCTTTTGATTACTTTTCTTAAATTTGTTCTCCCTTTATGTAATTCATTGTATAAATTATATGTATTGAATATATTGTTTAATTTCGTTAGAATTTCTTTAAAATGTAAAATAAAAGAATTTGAAAAGCCTGCACGGTGTGCTTCTCCTTATATCTGGTGTTACATGCTATATGAGCTCTGGGTGGGTATTTTTTACTCCATCTGTGATTGGCACCATGTGTTGCTGGTGGGCAGGGCATGAAAAGTGATACCATGCTCAATGTACACATTATATGCTGCAGGAGCACAATACCCCTGCCCTGGTTTATAATGGATTTCATGCTTGCAGGACATATTCTGCTGTCCATAATTATATAAACAAACACTGTAGGTAAGAACACAGAACTCAAAGTCCTGTTTACATTGACCAGAGTGGGGATAGAGCGCGCATGCGCAGAGCTGCCAGCACCTGGCGCACATGCGCAGTAAAGACAGGCGAGACTGCGCTCGTCACGTGATGTAGGGGCGCGGCTATGGTTGAAGGGGGCGGGGCGATGACGTGGTGGCGTTGCCCCTGGATACACGTGAGCAAAAGTTGTCACAATGTCCCTAATTTTAACCCTCGCCCTATCTCCACATGGGACAGGGCTGTAACCTTGGTAACCCCGCGAGGGGTGGGGGAGGAGCCTGGCTGACTCCGTGTGTGACACTGAGCGGGCACTGCACACACTGCGCGGAGTGTGACTGACAGAGGGAGTAGTGCAGGCAGTGACCGGGGTTTAGTCATAGGTGGCAGGCTGAGGGGACAGGTCTTACCTAGCAGGACATGCAGCATTGGGACAGGCTGAGATTATAATAATCACCGGCTGGGGGCCAGGCTGAGGGAGTAGTGCAGGCAGGAGCTGGACTCCAGGGGGAGGTGACAGGCTGAGGGAGTAGTGCAGGCAGTATCCAGACTCTGGGGGGAGGTGGCAGGCTGAGGTAGTAGTGCAGGCAGTATCCAGATTCTGGGGGCAGGTGACAGGCTGAGGTAGTAGTGCAGGCAGTATCCAGTCTCTGGGGGGAGGTGACAGGCTGAGGTAGTAGTGCAGGCAGTATCCAGACTCTGGGGGCAGGTGACAGGCTGAGGGAGTAGTGCAGGCAGTATCCAGTCTCTGGGGGGAGGTGGCAGGCTGAGGTAGTAGTGCAGGCAGTATCCAGACTCTGGGGGCAGGTGACAGGCTGAGGGAGTAGTGCAGGCAGTATCCAGTCCCTGGGGGCATGTGACAGGCTGAGGGAGTAGTGCAGGCAGTATCAGTCTCTGGGGGGAGGTGGCAGGCTGGGGAGTAGTAGTGCAGGCAGTATCCAGATTCTGGGGGTAGGTGACAGGCTGAGGTAGTAGTGCATGCAGTATCCAGTCTCTGGGGAGGTGGCATGCTGAGGTAGTAGTGCAGGCAGTATCCAGTCTCTGGGGGAGGTGGCATGCTGAGGAGTAGTGCAGGCAGTATCCAGTCTCTTGGGGCAGGTGACAGGCTGAGGGAGTAGTGCATGCAGTATCCCAGTCTCTAGGGGAGGTGGCAGGCTGAGTAGTAGTGCAGGCAGTATCCAGATTCTGAGGGGCAGGTGACAGGCTGAGGTAGTAGTGCAGGCAGTATCCAGATCCTGGGGGGAGGTGACAGGCTGAGGTACTAGTGCATGCAGTATCCAGACTCTGGGGGCAGGTGACAGGCTGAAGTAGTAGTGCATGCAGTATCCAGTCTCTGGGGGCAGGTGACAGGCTGAGGTAGTAGTGCAGGCAGTATCCAGGCACTGGGGGGAGGTGGCAGGCTGAGGTAGTAGTGCAGGCAGTATCCAGATTCTGGGGGCAGGTGACAGGCTGAGGTAGTAGTGCAGGCAGTATCCAGACTCTGGGGGCAGGTGACAGGCTGAGGTAGTAGTGCAGGCAGTATCCAGATTCTGGGGGGAGGTGGCAGGCTGAGGTAGTAGTGCATGCAGTATCCAGACTCTGAGGGGCAGGTGACAGGCTGAGGTAGTAGTGCAGGCAGTATCCAGATTCTGGGGGGAGGTGACAGGCTGAGGTAGTAGTGCAGGCAGTATCCAGACTCTGGGGGCAGGTGACAGGCTGAAGTAGTAGTGCATGCAGTATCCAGACTCTGGGGGCAGGTGACCGGCTGAGGTAGTAGTGCAGGCAATATCCAGATACCGGGGCAGGTGACAGGCTAGGTGGATAGAGAGTAATTGCCTGGTGAATGTGGTAGTATGGAGGTGTTGTGGGGCTCTGCACTGCTGATGGCTGTTATAGTGCTCCTGTGTGAGGGGCTTCGCTCCCTGTTGCCCAGGAAGCTCCATGGTCTACACCTAGAGTTGGCCTTTGAAGCGGTGTCAACCGTCCAGCTTTGCTGCTGTACCTGGGAGCTGGTCCTGCTGGGGGTCCGAGGCGGACTGGATCCCCTGTTAAGTTTGGGCCTCACCTACCTGATGACTGTGATTCACTGCCTGAGTTTACGAGCTGCCTGTAACCCCTGTGGCAGCCTCCAGCTCTGGCTCCGCAAGGAGGCCTCGGGGGTGGACACCACACTGCGATTGGTGGCTCAGTTCGCAGGGGCCGCGCTCTCCCGTCTGGTCATGCCATTCTTCTGGAAACTGAGGCTGTCCCATCTGCATGAGGACTGGAAGGCGGAGGACTTTAGGAGCCCACTGAGCATAGGGCCCCTGTCTGGGGCAGGTGTGGAGATGCTCTCTGCCCTGTGTCTGTTAATCCTACTGAGGAACCTGGGCAAGGTGGAGGAGCAGTTCAGACCACATGTGGTGGCAATGCTCATCACAGGGCTGGTGTATGCAGGTAAGAGACCGTACACACAGGGTTAGGCGAAAAGTCGTGGGTTATTAACTGATGTGTGAATTGTTAAGAATTTGAAGTGAATTTCAAACTTTATGCCAAAATCGACGAATTGGTAAAATTCTCCAAGTTGGCTATAGTTGGAGCTCTGCTATTTTGGTATTACATTTGAAATTCACTCTGAATTCCAGACTAATCACTCTTCAGTAAATATCCTTGTTAAAATTGGGATGATTAAGCAATATTTAAACTGTGTTCCATGGGGGCAGCAGCATGCTAAACTTACCCATTGCAGTGATTGGTGTACTTTATTACTGTTTTCATTCTGTTAATACGGTAATTACAATATTGTACCTTCTTCTATTGTGAATAGAAAACAGTGGCATGCATGTAAAGGAACTTGTAATGCACCATAACAACTTAATCTGCTGCCTAGGATTGCTTCTGATGGGCGCCGTTGATTGACTTAGAGCGGTTAACTGACACTTTCAGCCAATCAGTGGCTCCCCATTCATAAAAAATAATTTTTAAGCTGTTTTGTGTATGGGGATCCACTTATTTGCTGAGAACGTCTGCTAACTGTTCCAAGTCAATCAGCGGCGCCCGTCAGCAGCACTTGTTGGAGGGCTAGAGTGATCCCGCACTGGATAGAAGACTTTGAGGTTAAACCCCTAAAGTTAAGCTAGTGCCAGGGACCTCCTGGCACCATAACCACTTAATTTAGAAGACGTTCTGATGCCCACAATGTTGCTTTTAGTACACGGTTAGAATCCTAGGTTATTCTATGGAGTTTCAGTTCCTTAACACTAGAGGTCTGGGTGTGGTGTAATGGCACTATGCTTCCTTGCCCCAGGGGTCTAAAAGGTCTTCTTTTCCTTGTTGGTATCTTTACCTGGCAATCTAGCAGCTGAAGCTCTGTGTCCCCGACTGCATTCGTATCCTTAATGCTTTATTTTCTGGCACCTTTTTCGTATAGATTGGGGGAGTAGAGATGTAATGTTATTGAGAGGGAGCAGTTAAAAATAAATACATTTAAAAATCATTGTTTCTGTGGCCTCCAGAGGTAGTCATCCTTCAGCACTCCAGATGATGTGGATCGCATTTCTCCTGATGCTTTGCCAGCATAATGGCTGTAAGAGCATTAAGGAAATGTAATCCACAACATCTGCAGTTCTGAAGGTTGTCTACCCATGGACTACTTCATCAGATGAATTACAGGGAATTCCTGGCATATTGCAGCTGCACTGTCACCGTCTGGGGACTTGGCATAATTTGCAAAGACACCTGACAGTGAAATCGGAGGGAGGGGCAGGCAAAGGTGAGTTTAAATTACCTGAACCTGTCCTTGCAAGCGCCACTATCTTCTTCCGGTTGGTCCTGGTGCTTCAGCATGCGCGAGAGTACTGTATTGATTGAGATCTATCTGACCATAGACAGTGCCAATTCCCTGCAGCCGTCACTGCTGATAGCTGTGGCATTGACACTTGTATGTGGCAGTAGCTCTGACCCGTGTCTTGAAGCATCAGGCGTAAGAAAAATACAGAGATAATGGAGTTCATACTTTCTCAGTATGTCTTTTAATTGGTTGACATTTTAGGGAAATTCCAACACCGTAAATGAGTATTTCATAAAGATTATAATACATAAATACACATGGTGCTGAAAATGTGACCGTGTTTATAAAGTAAATATTTATCTGTTGTCTAAATTAGTTTATACATTTTTGGTTATATAAAAAATAAAGTAAAGTGGAAAATGCATCCATATTTTCTTTTTCCCCCTTGCAGGAGGACATCTCACAGGAGCTGTGTTCAATCCAGCTCTTGCCTTCTCAGTTCTACTCAGCTGTGAAGGAAACACGTTTCTAGAGTATGCTTTTGTTTACTGGCTGGGGCCCGTTATTGGTAGGTGGATTTTTATATGCTAAATGTGTTGACAAAAGACCCCACATATAAGAATCATTCCATTAAACGATCCCCTGTGCTGCTATGAGAATGGATATTGCCAAAGAGTATCCTTAAATCATTAAAGTCCAGCTCACTTTCACTTCGGAACAGCTCTCTGACCCTTTATAAGTTTTCCCCTCTCTTTCATAAAAAATAACTTTGCATCCAATATCTGTCTACATTCATGTTAATACCTGGATGTTCAGCTTCTAACGCAGGGGTGGTCAAAAGGTATACCTGCGTTTATGGAACTGCAGCTACCATGATGCTCTCTTGGCCTTCTTAAAGCGACACTATAGTCACCAAAACAACTGCAGTTTAATGCAGTGGTTCTGGGGTCTGTAGCCTGTCCCTGCAGGCTTTTTAATGTAAATACTGCCTTTTCAGAATACGTGCAATGTTTACATTACAGCCTAGGGACACCTCCATTGGCCACTTCTCAGACAGCCACTAGAGTTACTGTCTGTATGCTCTGCATGGAGACGCTGAACTTTCCACATAGAGCTACATTGATTCAGGGGCTGAGCCAGAGCTGGCGGATGTGCGAGGCACTGGAAATAAGGTGAGTTTTACCAGATTTAAGGGGGGATAAATAGTTAGTTTAACACTATAGGGTCAGGAATACAAGTTTGTGTTCCTGTAAGGCTGGCACAGTTTTATATGGAGGATAGTTCCACAATTCTTAATGCACCTTTTAAAGCACTGCTTCTTTGACTCTTCTTAATAATTATGGCTAAAGGGTTACGTGCTACTTCAATACTTAACTGGGATTTGTTGACTTTTTTTTGTTGTTCATTATTCTTGAGCCTAATAAGATTTTTTTTGTTTGTTTGTTTATTATAATATTTATATTTCTATTGTTTTATATCTGTGTTGAGATTTTCCATCTTGTGATTTTTCACTCTTTAAAGCGCACAATACTATTTGTAACTGTATTACACTATGTTGTGTTTCATTCTGATATAGGTATAGCCGGTTCCCCATTTTTTTAGGTGATATACATTCATTGCCTTAGAACACCAGTTAAATATTTCTTGGTGGAGAAATTAATTTGTACAGATCTACTAAATTAATGGGATCTTATAGTACCAGGAATGCAAAGCTGGCATTAACATTGCAGCAATAAGGGCAATTGGGACACTGTACCTCGACCACTTGAATAAGCTGAAGTGGTCTGGGTGCCTACAGTGTCCCTTTTAAAGTACCTTTTGTATTTTTTATTTTTTATTTTTTTTTTTATCATTGCTCATCATTACTCATCTTTTTGTTAATTACTGCAGTAATCCACGTGTTTTGCGTTTGGATTTTTTTATCAGTCATAATTTAATTACTTGATTTGTATTGATTATTACATTCTTCCACACATGCAGGTCTCTGATGTCCTTGAAAGTTTTGTTCAAACACATGTCTGTTTCTTCTAGGTTTAATACTCTCAATTCTACTCCTTGATGGATGTATTCCGAAACTCAGCTCGGACGAGAAGATTGCAAGCCAAAAAAAATTAACATGAAATACAACGGAATCTGAATCCAGTACGAAGCAAATAAAACACTGCTTCTTTACTATACAACATGTTGCTGTGATACATGGCTTCTCCAACATGGTTTGAAATCTTCAGAATTCCATCACTGTTTTCCTGACACAATTGGATCCTTTTAAGAAACAAAGTTTTCCTGGCACTATAGGTCCCTACAGTGCCCCCCTACCTCGCGCCCCCTCTCCCGCAAGGCTGAAGAGGTTAAAACCTACAGGGCAGACTTAGAGCTGTATTGTAAACATTTCAGTTCTCTGGAACTGCAATGTTTTACATTGCAGCACTATGTGCCAAAGGGACACAGCACCCAGACTACTTCAATGAGCTGAAGTGGTCTGGGTGCCTACAGTGTCCCTTTAATTCATTCATTGATTTACCATTTATTGCCTACAATTATTTTTACTATGGTAGTTTGTTGTTAAAACCCCCCCCAAAACTTTCAAGACATCGGTGTGTACATATAACAACTGGAATGCTATGGAAACTAAATCTGCCGACCAATGCATATAGAGAGAGAGGTGTGTGTCTGCTAACTTTTTCAGGGATTTGATTTGGCACCCACAGAATGTGGGATGTGTGAATGCATCTCACCAACAGATCTTAAGGGTAAAACAGAATATCTAGATATCGCATGAGAAGAATGTGTAGATGACCATATTCCACATGTCTGCACTTTTGCACTTTACCATAGAACACGCACTGTGGGATGTATTTTACCGAAGGGAGTGACTTTAGACACTGGTTTACTGAACAGTCATTGTTCTAGATCAGGGGTCCTCAAACTCCGGCCCCGCCAGATGTTGCTGAACTACAACTCTCATGATTCTTTGAATTACATAGATAGCCAGAGAATCATGGGAGTTGTAGTTCAGCAACATCTGGGGGGGCCAGAGTTTGAGGACCCATGTTCTATATAACTGGACAGTAGATGAAGCTCTTTTAATAATTCTAACCACATGTATGTTTTGTTTTAACAAACTTAAGTATATGCAGAACCTACCAAATAAGAGCGTGAACAAAATGTAGGTTGTACGTTTTACTTTTAGTATTGTTTTCAATATATATTTTAATTCATGACACATTAGTATGTTAAGATTTTTATGTTAAGAGTAGAGATTACGATTTGACATTGACACCTAAGATTAATAGACAAGCTAATCTTACAAACTGTGAAACCTAAAACTATGTTTCATACAATTGTGAAACAGTTTGATATTCTATAGAATCCTGCATTGAATAAAATGTTGGCATAATGCTTGTACATGTGTATTAGTGGATTATGCATAGGACCGAATATTTAAAACACACTGAAATTGGGACAGATTGTTCTGATGTAATGTGTGTGTGTGTGATATTAGGTGCAGGTTTTATTTGTTTATCTGCCAGAGAAGCTCTTAATGTCATTGGTTTTATTATACTGATCTACATGTAGCTCGTAGCAATAATTTCTTTCGCACCAAATAAGAAAATATTTGCTTTGCATTTCACATTCCCATAAACCACACTACCTCATATCAGGATTGTACTGCAAAAAAAAAACTGGTGCAACTGGTTTCATTGTCTTAATTATGCAAAAACATCTGAAGTTTAATCTTAGTATTTTTTTGCTTTTGGCATTTTACTCTAATTAAACATTTTATAATCATGTGTAGTGAGATTTTGTGCATCACATGTATATTTCAGCCACATGGCTATTTTTAGCAGCTATCTTTAATTTCTGATTGCCAACAGGTATAACTGAGCAAGCGTAAAAAAAGAGTGTTTGGAGCACACTTGGTATTAGAGTTGTTGGTTTTCCAAAATTTTTGTTTAACCCACTAAGGACCACTGGGATGTCATGTCATCAGCCTGGTGCCTGAGGACCCTGTTCCAGTATAGAATGGTCATATTATCACCATTAACTGCATGAGGGTGGTTTGAGGGTGCTGTTAGTGTGATGTGTGTGTATGTATGTATATATATATATATATATATATATATATATATATATATATATATATATATATATATATATACACACACACACACGCGGCTTATGTTTGTGCTTTAGGGTGCACACCCTAATGCACTAGGCTGCGCATGCCTATGCCTAGGAAATCTCTTCAGGAGCGGTGAGCTGTACAGACACAGGAATAGGCTCTGCCAATCAGTAGCCCTGAAGATTATATTAATGAAATTGTTCAATGCACAGATAATAGCTACGGATAGCTGATATCTGTTTATTAACTGTTCTGTACAGTTTGGGGAATTTTGCCAACAACAGATATACACAGGCTCTCTCAGAGAAGGTGGAGATTTGAACTGTGTGCGTGATAGTATAACTTTTTATTCTGTGTGGAATAAAAGCAGTATGCTTATAGCTGCAAGGAGCCTACGTTTGAAGGTCCTTTTAAAAGCTGGTTTGTTATGACAGCCATCTTGTCGTACCTGAGGGGTTAAACACATTGCCCCTTGTTGTATTTCCCAATCTAGCTTGAGACACCTGGAATTTGATTGTCAAGAATGCCTTAATTTGGCAGTCTGCACCAGAAAAGCCTGTTTGCACTGCTAAACAGGAATAGTCTAAGCACGAAAACCTGTACATGTTTTTTTTTTTTTTTTTAAATGTATTTTATTTTCGGATTTTCACTTATTATGCATATTGTGCAAAAGGGGTAACGTGGGATGGGGTACACGGAGAGAAAAAGGGGGGGGGGAAGGGAGGGCGACATGCATAAACATTGTATCATAGCCATACAAAAAATATTCGTAATAACTATGCATAGAGTTGGATATTCGTCATTAGGCACAATTTACCGGCTTCTGACTATAATACATATATACATATATACAATGGCAGTTCTATTCAAGTTAGCCTGAAACATTCTAAGGCACTAATTTGCATCTGTCCGCCCTAACTTAGGACCTCCGGGGCGGGAGGGGAGAATGGTGAGGGATTAGCGAGGCTGTGCTATGGCATAGAGTATTTATATTGTGTTGGTGTTGACGAGAAGGGCAAAAGGGAAAATGGTCAGTTAGAGGCTGTTACACGGTGTTAGCTTGGGAAGCCCTTTTTTTTTTACTGAGGAGCTTGGTAGAGTATCAAAAATGCCGCATCCTCTTTCATGTCTTTGCATATCTATAGTCCACCCATCTGCGCCACCTTGTTTCATGTCTACGCTGCCTCTCAGTGATACGACTTGCCATGTGTTCGTAATTATATATCGAGTCTAATCTGCCCAGAATTTCTGATAGCGTGGGCACCTGTGTGGATTTCCACTTTTGGGCAATCGCAGTTTTAGTTGCCATTAGGCAATGAATCGTTAAATAGCTTTCCTCTTCGTGAAGATTGTCTGGGAAAATGTGTAATAAAAAGCTTTCTGGTGTCAGTGGGACCTTGATCCCTAAATCCGTACAAAAAAGTGTGTGAATAGCCTTCCATAATGATGTGATCTGTGTACATGTCCAAAATATATGGTATAGGGATCCCTCTTGATTTTGGCATCTCCAGCAGAGTTTGTTCGCACCTGGGTATATGTGTGCCAATTTTTTGGGGACCAGGTACCAGCGCATAGTTAGTTTACAGTAGGTTTCCCACTGGTTGAGGCTATGTGAGGCCTTCTTTGTTAACTTCTGAGCCTGATGCCACGTGACTACTGGGAATTGTATTCCCAGGTCCAGTTCCCAGTTTGTCATGTAGGAAGGTTTTGTTGCCGTATATTGGGTAAGTAGTGTATTGTAGCAGAGGGATAGTGCTTTAGCCTTGGGAAGTTTCCCCTTACACTTATGGACAAATGGTGGTATGAGGTTATATTCTTTCATGGTAATCCGGCTTTCCTGAATAATATTCTTTAGCCTCAAATAGGTGAATAAAAACCTGTACATGTTAATGTTGTTGTTTTGGGTCACATATCCTGTCCTTGTGGTCTGACTTTATAAAAGCAGTGCCGTATTTGAGACACAGCATTGTTTACGTTCTTTCCAAACCACATCTCTAGTGGCTGTCTATTAGACGCACACCACCAGATTCCAAAGGAGCTTATATTACTGAATGTTCAGCAGGATGAGCAGCGAGATGTAGCCTTCATTGTACGTTGAGGTGGCAGATTGCGGCAATAACTGGCCTCTCAATGATTCTCTATGAGAAGTGTTTATTTGGACAATAGTCATCATACTTGAGGTTACACAAATCAGGCTGCTGTGAAGAGTCTGACTCTGCGCTGCAACTAAAGTTGAATTGTGTTTGTCTTCCTTTTCTTAGGAAGGGTGCATGTGTGTGTTTGCTTGTGTGTGTGTATATGTATGTATATATTTTACTGGTGTACATTGGTGTTCTGATAGGCTTATGCGATGTATGATCATATACTGAAACTAAACTCCCCATTATTTTGCATAGATTATGAGTAAAATAAATAAATAAAATACATTCTGTAAGCTTTGAAACTGATGTTTAGTGGGTGAGTGAGTGCATTGGATCTTGTATGGTACGGTATGTTGTATAATATTACTATTATTAATTGTTTTTGTATGGAGTGCTTGCATCCGGTTAAAAAACGTTTTGAGTATTCCCCCGAATGACCATCCACAGGGCTCTCAATGTATGATTTAGTTTTTTTTAAACATTGTAAATTAATCTGAACCATTAAAATGCAGCAATAGCTTTAATGTGTGTATTTCTATGTGAGTGACAAGATATTCTTCAGACACCATTATGACACTTAATCTCTTGTCAAATATATGGAATAAAGAATAGGAATACGTATAAATCAAATAAAGGGGGGGAGGATATCCATCCATTATAAAATCGATAGCATACACTTTATGAAAAATACTACATAGTGTCAAATAGGGTATAAAAGCACTTCACATGTATCGGCGAATAGTGTACAAACAGACACTTAATCTCTATATATTAATTTACTAGCACAACGTATAAAACAAATATGCTTGTTCTTGTGTAGAAAATTGGCTTAAAGGACCACTATAGTGCCAGGAAAACAAGTTTGTTTTCCTGGCACTATAGGATTATTAGGTCCCCCCCTCCTGCTGGGCTGAAGGGGTTAAAACCCCTTCAGCCACTTACCTTTCTCCAGCGCTGGGCTCCCTCGGCGCTGGGGATCTCTCCTCCTCTTGCCAACGTCAGCGCCGAATGTGCATGCGCGGCAAGAGCCACGTACGCATTCAAACCGCCCATAGAACCGCATTACTCACGGATCAGTTTCGCACCGGGGCCCCATGTATTGTTTGTACGCCACTGGTCACATGTCCTCTCTTATGGCTGTTATACTTTATATTTATACCTAACCATTTTCATTTCTGGTATGAGCATATAAGCTTGATACTATAGGGGCACTCCTGGTTGGAATTGGCTTTTTGCATACCAAAATTTGCAAAACAGCCTATCCAGATTAGGGTGAAAAAAAGAGTAACATTTGAAGTTGTTGCATGTGCCAATCATGAAGCTTGAGGCAGAGCAGGTGTAATTCCATTATCGGCCTTTTAGTGTGGAAGTTGTCGGCTAAATTATTACCTAGAAACCATTGATGTTCTTCCGATGAAATGAAGTGTGAGAAACATTGCGTGTACAAAGTACAGAAAGGAGTTGGGGCAGCACGTCCACAGGTACAGTAAACCAAAAAAGGGAATTATTTTAAGAACCATCCTGACTCTCTCTCCTCTCCCCTAACTACCTCAGCATATTGCATAACTTTTTACATTTCAAAAAATAATACATAACTGAGTATACAAAATAGTAAACCTATTTCGTCCGAAAGCTATAAAATGCAATGTGTTGGTGCCTGAAATGTCTCTTGTACGGCCAATATAAACGTTTTGTCATTTTTTACATCATCCAATGCCATCCTTGTCTGCCAGGAGAACCTTTAAAAGCTGCTTATATATCTTTAAAGATTAGCAGAGTGCACTTTATTTCAAGGCCTATGATAATGTGTCCTGCTCAAACATGTAACTCTCCCCCTTCTAATAGAATACTGTTGACATTTGCTATGCTTCCCCACCCCTCGCTGTGGGCTTATTCAACGAAACCTCTGTAAAATAACTGTAAATATATACATATGCTCTGTGCACACAGTTTTGGGTAGTGTTTTAAAGTGATTTTATCATATATTTTAATTTCCTCCTTATTTGAGACCGTCGTACAGCTCTTGCGCTAGAGTTGCAAATCTAACAGTTTTTAGTGTATGTACAAAGAAACTTGCTTCACTCTTGTATTAAATGTAAATTGGCAGCATGACGGTGTTTCTACTTGCTTCTAAATAGCTTGTCAAGCAGGATGTGGTTGGCCTCTTCAACCCATTGCTTATTGTTAACTTCAAAGGTGCTTTTCCAGCAGCAGACTGGCTGAACGAAGCCATATTTCTGCAGCGATGGTAAGTTATACGAAGTTCATTTTAACTTACGGTAATGTTTTCCTTTTCCAGCTGTGCCCATCTGAGAAAAATGGGAACATCTCATCAAATGAATTGCCGCCATGCCCATATTATGGTACCTCTTGGTGCAGAAGGAATATCTGCACCAACTTATCATCAGCAACGTATCAATGAGGCCCAAGATGAGGCCAGGATGATGAAAGATGAACTGAGAGGACAGGCATGCAAGCCCAGAGCCACATTAACATAGGCAACAGACCTTTATTACACGGTTGCCTTTTGTGGGTAAAAGTAATAATTGCTTCTTTACTGAACCAGAAGCTTCGTGTCACCTGGTATGCTACTTAGTGACAACCAGGTCTCCCATAAGGCTGGCTCTGCATCATGGGTAATGTAGCCTACAGTTAGAACGCCCCTGTATATTGGTACAGTGTGAGGAAGGGCGGTACTCCATCCACAAAAAGGATTGCTGCTAATAGGGCACGGGTGGTTGTAATGTACATAAAAAAAAAAAAGATAGCCGACAGTGATACTCAGCAGAGGTCTGTCAGCAGGGCTTCCCTCGGGCCCAGCAAAATTAAAGATTTAATGCATTACAGACATAGGTACCTCCCAAGTAGAGACAATGGGTGAAAAAATAAGAAGACTCATGCCCTGGCAGCACCTCGCCAGCCAGATATAAGGCTTTCTTTTGAGAGGCCTGAGCTACCACAGAGACCAAAGGTGCATGGGGCCCACTGTGCACAAGAGGCATCTGAAGCCTTAACAGAGGAGGAAGAATCCTTCCCTCTCCCCGATCAGATGCCTCATCCCTCTCATCATGGACCGAGGAAGATGAGTCACCCTCAACAAAGGGAGAGATAAAGTGGACCCTGGTAGACTTATGGAAGGAGGACCTCCAGAAAGTCCAGACTGAAGTGGAAGTGGTCCACCAGAAGGTCCAAGACCTAGAGGTACGAGTGGCCTCGAGACAAAAAACTACAAGCCACAGACAATAGCATGGACGGGCTTACTTCTCAGGTACAACAACTGAGAGGAGCAGTGACCACATTGGAGGTACGACACAGGCGTAGAAACCTGCACCTCAGAGGTATTTCCGAAACAGTTGGCAAAGCTCCTACCATTTATCCACAACCTCATGAACACTATCGGCCTTAAAGCACCTCTGACTTACCACAGATAACCTCGGCATTACGAGGCACCCAGGGACATCATTGCAGTAACCCGTCATGTCTCAGTGAGGTCTGCCATTATGACTCAATCCAGGAATATGGGGATCATACCTAATGAGGGTCACGTGGTGGCTATATACCCAGATATACTAGTCTCTGTTTTCACAAAAAAACGGAGACTGGCACCTATAGCCAGGAAATTGCGGGACTCTTCCATACGATACTGCTGGGGAATGGAGGGATCCCTACTAGCTGAAGTCGGGAGAGAGAGTTTCACACTGACATCGGAGGATGACCCGGAGCCTTTCCTATAACATGTGGGCCTGTCGGGGGGGCGTGGCCTGACTGCAGAGCTGAGAGGATGCTAACCCCAGCAGCTCCTGCTGAATGAAGGAGAAAAGGCTGAATTTCACTCACAAAAAGCAATTACCCGACACGGGGAAGCTACCAGACAACAGCTGACAACGAGGTGATCATAATGACACCATCCAAGCGACATTCTGAGTGGTGGTCACTCGAAACCCCCATGAGGCCTACAAGCAAGGCAGGCGCAGGAGAGACGGCCGCTCTCTTGCAGCCACAACACGCTGAGACCCTGAATCTGGGCCTGCGTTCCCCCCCCTATGGACCGGCGGGGGCTATCCCGGTCTACCCTCACACGATCCCCAATTGAAGCAGCGAGATCGCTACATCGAAGCAGAACCCCGAGCCTACTTCCAGCGAGGCCCTCAAGATGGCAGATGCCCGCCACGCTGCCAGCCTATGCAGTGCATGGAAGGAAACGGAGCTCTGGCTGAACACAATCTTCGCCTCCTTTTGGGAGAAATTGGAAGCCCACATGCGACCCCCCCAACACCAGAGACTCTGCCCAATAACCTGCCAAAGAAAACGCAGGAGACCCAGAGTAGCAAAGCCATGACCCCACCTAATGGTACACCCAGGAGAGGCCAACACCAGCAAGAGGTTCCCTTAGCCGCCCAAAGCCCGGGAGCCTAGTAATGAGCAGCGGTCACAGAGGCTGGCTTCTGAGACCCTGCTGGCCCCGATGAGAAAACGACCAAAACCACCTCTCCCGCATGCTGAATTACAGCACACACCTCGGAGGGACATGGACAGTGGGAAGCAACTGGGGAAACAACGGGGTAAAAGGCTCAAAACGGCGTCGACATCAGGAGGGCACTCCCGGAGACGGAGCAACCCACGCTTGAACCAAGGGGCATACCGAGCATGGAGAACCGCAAAGAAGACTTTGTGCACCCCATCAAGCTCACGACCTCACAATCTTGGGACTCTGCCCCACCTCACCTACAAGGCACCGAGCGGGACGCAACAATCTGCACGGGAGCACACTCAGCCCCTACAGGGTGTTGGATGACCGAGAACCGGTGATGAGACTCTGTATCAGGCAAAGTGCCAGTTGCATATTTCCTAATTCAAATTACATAACCCTTGTTTAATTTAGGCTACAGTGAATCTATTGACCTTTAGTAAGGGGAGATCATGGGGAGGGGGTACTACTATTATTTTCACTGGTTTGCTTAAATGACAACTGAACCCACACAGGGCATGCCACACATAGTATCGCATGTACACTCACATGCTTCTAAACCCTGAGCGAAAGTCTCTACAAGCATTAATCCATGTACACACCTCACTCTCACAATGAACACGTTCCTGTGTAATAATCTACAAACCTACTCATCGACCTTATGTACCTAGTGTTTAAGCATTTATTTTTCTCTGAATGTGTGCATTTATATCACATGCTGCTAATTTTCTCTGAAGCATAGCAAATAAGATGTTGAAATATTGCCTGCGATCCAAGTTAACTTTATGTGTTACCTATTATTAGTCTATAGCCAGCAAGGCTCAAGATAAGATTGTTTATGTATCATAAAAACAAAAATTGTGCATCTACTCCTGCCACTGTTTAACCTGTATACAACGTGTGTGCTGTTGTGGCGCTTGATTTCGCAATGTACTTACCTGCACAACATAAATAAAGAATTAAAAACAAAAACAAATAAACATGTGGGCCTGTCAGTCCTGCCACGATCCGGACCCTCATCGCCTATTAGGAGACCTAAAGAACTTGAGGGCATTGACACATGCAAACACAGCAAGTCATCAAGAAGCAATGTCAAGAGACTGACACAGCTGCCCCAGAATGACAGTTCCATGTTCCCATAGTTAACGGATGGATTGCACAGCGATTAGTACTGTGAGGGGCTCCCTCTGGTGAGCTACAATCAGCCACTAGCTCACCATGATTCTGTTAATAGTCTCTATAGACAGTACCATAACCTGACAAAAGTCATACAGATATTGCAATACTAACAGTGTTCCATCTATTGTACCTACATGTTTCTATTGTGCTCAAACACGTTTTCTATTTCCATTATTAGAAAAGTTGTATATGCTACTTTCAACTTAATAAAAATTAAAAAAAATTTAAAAAAAAAAGATGATCACGATTTTGTTTTTAATTCGAGGGTTATATTTTATGAAAAACTGTTATGCTTTTTAAATGAAATTGAAAAGTTTTTAACTTTTGAAATAAAAGTTATTGAATAAATGTTCTTTGCTTGTCTGTCTTAAATACTTACTTAATACAGCTGGATGTCAGGGTGGTGGGTGTCAGGGTGGCGGTCTGTTGCCGGGACCCAGACACTGTCCGGGTGGCGGTGTGAGGACCGGGACCCAGTATGCCTGATGATAAGTAGGAGTCTTCAGCGTGAGAGTGGATAGGTCATGGTCTGGTGCAGGGTAACCGCACGCCCCCTGGTGTTGAGCACCAGCGTTTGTGCAGCCACAAACCAGAACCCTGATTCAGCTTATGTGGATCCCAGGAACTAGGAGCAGGAATTAAGCAGACCTCCCAGGAGCTGAATAGGGAGGCTCTGCAGCAAGAATGTATCCAGTACAGAATCAAGGCAAGACTAGAGATAGGTACCATACATGAAAACAAGACAAAACTAGGAGAACCCAGAACCGGAGCAGGACAGAAAGCAGAACCCAGAACATGTACACAAGACATGAGGGAAACATGAACATAACATGGGCAGGACAGGACAGGACTGTACATGATCTGGGAATACAAACTAAAACAAGACAAGATAAGATAGGCAAAAGAAGAGGAGATATAACTAAGCACTATATATGGAAATCATGGGGATTTAGTCACATTATATGACCATACATTGCATAAGCCTGCCAACAACGCCAATGTACCCCATATCTGGCAGGTCCTACTCTGCCTAATGTTCGCTAAACCAGCCAAAGAAAACGCACATAGTACTTACCTGCAAGAAAGGGCAGAAGGCTTGAGCAGCTGCCTGCGGGGACACTGAAACAAAAGGAATGATGGAAAAGGAACGGGTGTGGCAACATAAAACAAACATTTAAAGGAATCCAAGAGACTGGGAAATCCAGGCACGGAATATAAGAATGAACCCAGAAACCCAGCATAAAGAAAACCAGACATGGAATAGAAAACCAAAAAAACAAGAATTGTAAAAAGAGTACTGGATACCTGAAGCCATAGCCAGAATGATCCACAGCTAGGAACAGGATGTGACAGTGGGCAGGAAATGCAATTTATAGATCAGAGGCTCCTTAAACGGCCTCTGCACCACATCCCGTTCCCCAAGCTGTAATGGTTATGAAGAGTTAAGCGTATTTAGGTTCCATTCTTCTTCCTGTCTTGTTAAACAGCTTCTGAGCTGGCTGGAGTACCACAGTATTCCTCCATCTTTGAATGCAATAATTTGGTAGTGAGCGCTGGCTAAATGTCAAAGATTGGATGGAGAATGCCAATCTCAAAGACTCATTTTATAGATCATAGACTCATTTAAAAGACGGAACTTTGCGATACACCGATTGAAAAAGCCATTCGTGAAGCGAAACGCGTCTTGGTGAAGGAGGAGGGAGATTTCCAGCACTACAACTATTTTATTTGTATTTTTAACTCAATGTTACTCTTTATTTTTATGTGAATAAATAACACAGATTTTTTTAAATTACCATACTTCCCATTCATCTTTGCTTTTGGTTCCAGAGGGGAGTGTCACCCCTAGATGTGACACTACACTTGGATACTTAGAGCCAGTTACCAAAAGGCTCTTAAAAAGGTGAGCACAATATTTATTGAAAGGAGACTGTGTGTTACTTCTGTACTTTACCTTTTTGAAGGGGACTTTCTCAGTTTTTCTTTTTTTGATTCTCCAAATTAAATTGTAGTGTAATGTTTATTGCACAATTGCTAGCCCCTGTGGGCTCGTTGTATACTGGTTTTGGCCCTGTTTAAGGAAATTAGGGGAGTTCTCTTGATTTCCCCTTTTCATTTTTTTCCCCCATTTCACACCATTAATGCGGAGACTCATTCATTGCTTTACCAATAATTTTACATGCACTCCTCACATAAGTTTGTGGTTATACACTGTGCTATATAGATGTGTAAACATTCATTCACACCACATACTTATACTTGACATGTTTTATATATACACAGATGGAATTATTTAACCAAAACACTAATTTATACAACGTTTACATTTCTAGAAACTTAATGACCTATAGAGTTCAAGTAAAGGATTACTATAGGGTTATGAACACAAACATGTATTCCTGACCCTATAGTGTTAAAACCGCCATCTAGCCACCGTGAGCCCCTCATGCCTCCATAAATATAGAAATCGTACTGTATTCAAGCCTGAAGCTGTAACTCTGCATGCTGTTTGCCTTAGATAAAAACAAGCAGTCTGCTGACATCATCAGAAGTGGTGGCCTGATCCAATCACAGTGCTTCCCCATAGGATTGGCTGAGACTGACAAGGAGGCAGATCAGGGCAGAGCCAGCATGATTCAAACACAGCCCTGGCCAATCAGCATCTCCTCATAGAGATGAATTGAATCAATGAATCTCTATGAGGAAAGTTCAGTGTCTGCATGCAGAGGGAGGAGACACTGAATGTTTGGATGCATTTTAGGCAGCCATGACCCAGGAAGGATCTCTAGCAGCCATCTGAGGAGTGGCCAGTGAAGTTATCACTAGGCTGTAATGTAAACACTGTATTTTCTCTGAAAAGACAGTGTTTACAGCAAAAATATAATACAAAACCAAAAATATCACCACTGTGAATATTAGTGAATAATAGACAATACTTAGCTTCATAAACGCAGAACAGCCTCCCTAGGTCGTTACCCAACAACCGACCTTTACATAGAATATAAACAACCAACCACAGATTTGGGGATACGGCTGAATTAATCTAAAACAGAGGGAAATAAACAAAAAATAGTGCAATACAGTAAAAAATCAATATATCATGCGCCACATGAAATGCACTCACAAAATGTTGGCAGACACAGCGCTCATAGGGTGCCTCCCCCGAAGTAGCTGGGGGCTAGTAATCCCACTCTCCACTCCACAGTCACCGGCAAATAGATCAGGACTCCAGGAAGGTGAAGGTATAAAAAGGATTTTTAATTTATAAAAAGGTGAGACAATCACCATAAACGTTAATAATAAACGCAAGGATAAAAGAAACGGTCCAACCCATTTCGTTCCTGAGCGGAACTATCAGGGACCACAATAATATCAGAGAAAAAATTGCAATGACAAATAATAGCAAATCCTAATATCCTCACCCTAAGAGTTCCTTTAAATAGGGCTCGTCCCTAAAGTCATTGGTGGATAAGTGGGCGTCCTTCGTCATACCGGAGTTACATTGGTAGGCTGCTGCTGTCTCCATGTGTGTTTGTAATATCCATCAAAATGGCCTGATTGAAATTGGCGCGCCAACATTACCGGAACCGGAAGTGGTTATGTCCAAATACTTTGCGTTCCACATGACGTCATGTACGTCCCGCCTATTGGTCTATCACCCATATTATCGGGCGGAATTGAAATACTAAGTATCTACTCAAAAGAAAAAGTGTCATTATCATCAAACTTAACTAAAAGTCATATCTATATTATATTAAATACATTATTTATTTATTTATGGGATGTAGTTCTTGAAATTCAAACTTATTAAATGTTATACTGATATCAAACATGAATTAAACCAATTAAAAGCATAATGTTGAATAGGAATGTAGAGACATTAAATTGTGATATAAATTGGGATTCCTTCCTCATTTTAGGAAGAGTATGCACTCCACAAATATTCCTTATTTGTTCCTTTTTTGCATAAGTTGTTTTAGTGCACTTGTCACTTTAACAAATTTGGCTCACTAAACAACTGGTTTAATTAATGTTTGATATCAGTATAACATTTAATAAGTTTGCATTGCCCTGTCCTCTTTTTCCTCCTATGCCAATCTTTGAGCAATATTTTGCAATTTGTTATGAACTTTCTGCAAGCAGCCAATCATATCTATAGAAAGAAATACTATTGCATCCGTCATCCAGATTTGACACCGGAAGTCACATGATCGGACACGGACATCCGAAAAAACCGGCCATAACAAGAAGGTCATTTGCCATAGACTCAACAGATCAAGGACTCCATATTAGAGGAGGAAAAAGAACCGGAATTACCATGTATGGACTTGGGAGGTCGGGTTTTATGTTTTTTACACATGTGTTCTGTATTTTGTATTTCTGTATAAGGTATATAAACATATCCCTGTCATGTACTATTATTGCACCTGAGGAAGACCAAGAGAGTGGTCGAAACGCTTATTCATCTTTTATTTTAATAAAGTATTTATTTTACACTTTATTTTGGTTCCTGATTTTATCCAGATGGAGTTTGACTTCTGTTCCTGGGGGACCATCTCCATTACAGCATCGATTCTGGAGTATTCTACATGCTATTACAGTAGAGAGCCGACTTATATGGCTCTCTAGATTGTGAGTGCTCCAAGTTACTTTTATTTTTTATATTGGCTATATGCATATTGCTCTATGAGAATCTTTTATATATTACAGATTTTACTACCATTTATCCATTGTGTGCGCAAAACCTCCTCTTCTTTTATCCAAAGAAAAACCAAAATTACTGAATACAAAGAGTAGTTTCTTCACAATTACGATCCTAGACTGAAATCTAAAGCTGAGGCCTTCTTCCAATGTCTTTTCGGCATAACCTCTATGATATCTGGAGAGTACAACATCCCGGAGAGAGAGATTAGACTTTCTTCTTGGGAGTGCACTCTTCGTATTCTCAAATTGACCATTTTTATATGGTGTGCCCCACTCTGGAAAGATTTTCTAGTTCCATAGTGGATAACATCTCATAGTCCGACCATGCCGCGGTGTTTGTATCTATAAACGATAATCCTGACTATAAAATACGAAACAACTGGAGACTGAATGAATGAGACCAGGCTAAATCTTTTCTGAATTACAACGACAATGGGGAGGTTTCACTACGATGAATAGCTACTATGGAGTACTATGAAAAGTGTTTTAAGAGGCCACCTTATTAAGAGAGGTGCATGGCTCAAGAAACAGAGGGGAAGGGACCTGGCTGAACTCTATGCAT